TGAGGAAGATGAGGAGGGTGAGGAGATGAGGATGAGGAGCTGAGGAAGATGAGGAGGGAGAGGAGGGTGAGGAGGATGAGGTGGGTGAGGAAGATGAGGTGGGTGAGGAAGATGAGGAGGGTGAGGAAGTGAGGAGGGGAGGGGTTGAGGAGGTGAGGAAGATGAGGAGGGTGAGGAAGATGAGGAGGAGGGATGAGGAGGGTGAGGAAGATGAGGAGGGCGAGGGGTGAGGAGGCTGAGGAAGATGAGGAGGGAGGAAGGGTGAGGAGGTTGAGGAAGATGAGGAGGTTGTGGAGACTGAGGAAGATGTGGAGGTTGAGGAAGATGAGGAGGTTGAGGAAGATGAGGAGGGCGAGGAAGATGAGGAGGGTGAGGAGTGAGGAGGGCGAGGAAGATGAGGAGGGTGAGGAGATGAGGAGGGCGAGGAAGATGAGGAGGTTGAGGAGTTGAGGAAGATGTGGAGGTTGAGGAAGATGAGGAGGGCGAGGATGAGGAGGAGTGAGGAGGGTGAGGAAGATGAGGAGGGTGAGGAGACTGAGGAGGGTGAGGAGTGAGGAGGCTGAGGAAGATGAGGAGGTGGGAGAATGAGGAGGTTGAGGGAGATGAAGGGGGCGAGGAAAATGAGGAGGGCGAGGAGGGTGAGGAGGATGAGGTGGGTGAGGAAGATGAGGAGGGTGAGGAGGCTGAGGAGGGCGAGGAAGATGAGGAGGTTGAGGAAGATGAGGAGGGAGAGGGGGATGAAGATGAGGAGGGCGAGGAAAATGAGGAGGGCGAGGAGGGTGAGGAGGATGAGGTGGGTGAGGAGGTGTGGAGATGAGGAAGATGAGGAGGTTGAGGAAGATGAGGAGGTTGAGGAAGATGAGGAGGGTGAGGAGGATGAGGAGGTGAGGAGACTGAGGAGGCTGAGGAGGCTGAGGAGGTGAGGAGCTGAGGAGGGCGAGGAAGATGAGGAGGTTGAGGGAGATGAGGAGTGTGAGGAAGATGAGGAGGGCGAGGAGGTGAGGAGGATTGTATGGTGTGCCCGTGGTCTCAGGAGGAGATGGTAGGTGGCCGACCGTGCGACCAGCGAGGAAGATGAGGAGGGCGAGGGGGTGAGGAGGCTGAGGAAGATGAGGAGGGCGAGGGGGTGAGTGAGGGGAGGAGGGTGAGGAGGGTGAGGAAGATGAGGAGGTGAGGAAGATGAGGAGGGTGAGGAGGGTGAGGAAGATGAGGAGGGCGAGGAAGATGAGGAGGGTGAGGAGGTGAGGAGGGTGAGGAAGATGAGGAGGGCGTGAGGAGGGCGAGGAGGGCGAGGACACACTCACCTTGTGGTATCCGGTCTTTGCAAAAATCTGCAGATTCCCGTCTCCGGTCATCAAGGAGCCGTAGTTTGAGCCTCTCTGGAAACAAACACGCTCAGAGTCAGTGTGACCTTCGTCATCTTCATCTTCCTCGTCACACCAAGGATTACCATGGTGACGATAACGATCGTGTAAAAACACCGCACGTGTACGCTCACTGGGCACTTTATTAGGAGCACGTGTGCTCCTAATAAAGTGCTCGTGGGAGTGCGTTTTCACTGTGAAGGCGTCTGTCGGATTTACAGACAGCGAGAAGAATTCTGGGAGTTTCCTCGGAGCTGATTTCAGGCCTCGTTATTTTCTGTTCCACAGTTTAGTCTAAAACGTAACGGCGACCTGAGCTCGACGCACATCTTTCTTTACATCTACCTTCGATTAGAACGCCTGTCATCAGAAGCCTTACGTACACCTCAAACCTTTAACCAGCGTCACTGCGTGGGAGTGTGCGCACACTTACCAGTGACAGTGTGAGCTTGCTGCCGCTCCGCAGCACCTTGTTCAGGTCGCTCATCTGGATGTCGTCCCAGGAGATCCTCCAGAGCTGAGCTACCAGCTCCTTCTCCAGCTTCATCCTCCTGCAGCACAAACACTCTTCCTCAGTGACTCACCTTCATCTTCCTCCAGGTGAAGCTCAAAGACGGTCAGACACAGTCTGTCTGATTACAGTTCGCACACGCTCAGTAGTACCAACTCATTCTAAATCATTCTTCTCTGAGTGCACCAAAGAACCTGATCGTGTGGTGATATAGCACGATCACTCCACATGCTACTGCCCTCACATGACCAGGTGGTGGAACTGCAGCAGCTCTCACCTGTAGATGAAGATGGCGATGGTCAGGATCAAGATGAAGAAGAAGATGACCACGATGGAGACCATCTGGTAGACGGTGATGGTTTCTGACAGAGAGAGAGGAGGAGACTGTTATTAACCCACAGACACACTATGTGATCTCACGATTCAGAACCAGAACCATGAGGACCATTAGGACCATGAGGACCTTCAGGACCATGAGGGCCATCAGGACCACGAGGACCATGAGGACCAACAGGTCCATCAGGACCACACATTTTTAAAACGAGTTCTTCCTGATCTGGGCTGTAGCTCAGCTGGTAGCACAGGTCACCTACTAATCGTCAAGGTTGTTGGTTCGATCCCATTCTTGATGTATCCATCGGAGTGTGAATGATAGATAGGAAGCACATACGTGTGTGTGTGTGTGTGAATGCTAGATAGGAAACACTTACGTGTGTGTGTGAATGCTAGATAGGAAGCACTTACGTGTGTGTGAATGCTAGATAGGAAACACTTACGTGTGTGTGAATGCTATATAGGAAACACTTACGTGTGTGTGAATGCTAGATAGGAAACACTTACGTGTGTGTGAATGCTATATAGGAAACACTTACGTGTGTGTGTGTGAATGATAGATAGGTGTGTGTGTGAATGCTAGATAGGAAACACTTACGTGTGTGTGTGAATGGTAGATAGGAAAGCACTTACGTGTGTGTGTGTGAATGCTAGATAGGAAACACTTACGTGTGTGTGTGTGAATGCTAGATAGGAAACACTTACGTGTGTGTGTGAATGCTAGATAGGAAACACTTACGTGTGTGTGTGAATGCTAGATATGAAACACTTACTGTGTGTGTGAATGCTAGATAGGAAACACTTACGTGTGTGTGAATGCTAGATAGGAAGCACTTACGTGTGTGTGTGTGAATGCTAGATAGGAAACACTTACGTGTGTGTGTGAATGCTAGATAGGAAGCACTTACGTGTGTGTGTGAATGCTAGATAGGAAACACTTACGTGTGTGTGTGAATGCTAGATAGGAAACATTACGTGTGTGTGTGAATGATAGATAGGAAAAGCACTTACGTGTGTGTGTGAATGCTAGATAGGAAACACTTACGTGTGTGTGTGAATGCTAGATAGGAAACACTTACGTGTGTGTGTGAATGAGGTGCTTTGAGTGCTCATAAGAACCAGTGCATATGAACTTTGACCTCAGACTGATCTTTGGCATACTGACTTGCGAGACAGACTTGGTTGTCGTTCTTGAAGCCACAGACAGGAAAATCAGGGGGAGGGGCTCCGCCCAGCCAGTACAGGTGTGTTCCAGGTATGGCGGTCAGATGCTCCTCAGTGGTGCTGTACACCATAGCGATCTGCGAGGAGGAGGAGGTGTGGTTAACGTCCCTGGATTCGCGCAGACGTTCTAACATTCGTTACTCTAGTTTATGTTTTCAAGGTCACAAAAACGCTGAGCGCTGAGTCGGAGCCTGCAAGGACACAACCAGCACGTTTCTGTTGTGTCTGTGTTTAGTGTGTTCACCTGGAAGGTGGTGCTGTTGGTGTCTACAATGTCCCACAGAGCAAAGTCGGTCTCTCGGTCCCCGCTGTCATCCAGGTGGAGCAGCCCTGTCACACCTGAGGAGAAGCACACAGGTCCACAGGTGAAGCGTCTCCTCGTCTGAAGGTTAAAGCTGTTCGCAATGAAACAATGGAAGAACGACTTCAAGAGTTTCACATAATTCACATCATTTCCTCCTAATTAACCTGAGTGCATCTCACACCACCATCCACCTGCTGCACCGCCTAAGGGAATTCTATTTCACCACCATCAACACCACCAAAACCATCACCTTCATCACCACCATCACCTTCATCACCACCAATACCATCGCCATCATCGTTTTTTTAACCAGCCTCTGAGCAGCCGTCATCAATAAACACTCAGTTCATCCTTCATGAAAACTTTTATCTTTTAAGCATAAATCTGACACTAACTACAAACTACAGACTAAAAACTACAAATATGTCCGACCCCCTGATAGGCTTCTCTCTTCAGCTGCTTTTCCTGGGCTGTTAGTGATGAAGAAAAAAGCAAAACCAGGCGTGGAATTAATTTAGTTAACACTTGATGGACAGGAAGAGGAAGCTCGTCCGTTAGTGAAGGTTCTGTTTTTTTATGCTAGGAGTCTAAACTGACAGAGGAACAGATGAAAGCGAAGTGGAACAGACCAGAACCTCACTGAAACCACACTCTAACAATCTGAACAGGTCCCAGCTGCAGGAGGGAAAAACATAAAAGTCCAAGATCCAAATGAAATGCCCGACAGCTGCAGAGATGACGACAAACAGAAAGCTCGAGCAGCAGGCCTCCGTGTGCAGACGACAGCACTGAGTAACATATATGTTATTATCATTATTATTTTTATTGGTGTTAATAATTGGACTTTACAGACGTTTCAAACTTCTCAGGTTTCAGCTTCCAGAACCGGCACAGCTGGCAGCAGGACGGCCCAACAGGCAGGTACAGGTTACCTGATAAAATGGTCTTATTAACACTGGTGAGGTTATCGATGTTCAGCTGGAGAACAGAGCGCAGAGGTGCATGAGTTCATACGAACGATCCATCCCCCAAAATCCAACACGTGACTGCAGGACACACAACAGGAAGCAAAGACTGAGGAGAAAGGAGGTCGTGCATGAAAACAGTCACACAGACAGGAGACGTTAATTACAGACAATCAGCAGGAGGAGAGCGAGTGTGCACGCTGAAGAGGGGCTGAGTGGCGCTAACCACCCAGATGAACCATCGCCATAGA